GGTGTGAAATTCAGTTCCTGTGCAATCATTGCCGGGGGAATTGAAATGAGAGCATTTGAAAACAGCTTGGAACCCCGGGAAGGGTGTAAGGAGCTGGCACTAGTCCAGCCTTGCTCCCTGGCAGGCCCTGATGCCAGTAGCAGGCCATGCGCGCCGTGGGGCTGCAAGAGAGGCCAGAGCCAGCATTACTGGCCATGCCTTTATTCATGCTGTCTGGCTTTGCCCAAGCCTTGTCATTGCTTGATGCTGCAGAGGCTGCATTTAATGCTTGGGGATGTCTGTGCCTAAAACCAAGACCAAGCAGGATTGTGTTTGAGAGGATGGTGTGGAGGGTGAAGGCACATCCTCGGCAGGGAAAGCCCATCCCTGGCTGTCCCACTGCCTCAGCCCCAGCTCTTGCCCATCATCTCCCAATTCAGTCTGGGATATGCATAAGTACATTGCATATTGCTAAACCAACCAGCAAGCAGTGATCTATTTTGCATCTCCCCTGCTCCCTGCACCCTGTCAGTCTGTTTTCCAGTCACCTCTTTGTTCAGTGACAACCACAACAAAGGATGTACATTTCAGGGAGACAGCACCCAGGTAGTGATTTTGGAGCAACAATCCCAAGCTCTTCTTACCTGGCTGGTGAAGCCTGTCTTTTAAGCAAAGCCACAATTTCCATGGACATCTAGCAGAGGGAAAAGAGCTCAGGCATCACATGGACAGACAGACCCTTGCAGCTGAGGTTGGGGTCCGACTGGGGCATTATGTTGGCTGTCATTGTGTGTTAGGACCGTGTTTCAGAAGGAAGGGCACTGAGTGGAGTTGGCCGTGTTACAGGTGTAGCACTGGGGGCTCTGCCAGCAGCAGCAGCAGCAGCTCCTGCTCTCCCTGTAGTAACATCTCTGTAGGGGCATAACGCTGCTCCCCCCCGCCTTGCTCACAGCAGGGTATGGCTGCCCCGACCCCTGCGTGCAGCCAACCCCATTCCTACAGCGTTTCCCAAAGCAAGAAGTGTGCTGGGTGGTTTCCTGGAAGAAACAAGCAGTGACAACAGGGCTGTTGCCTGGGGCTGGGTACAGGGCTGACGGACAGCAGCTGAGACACTGCAGCTGCAAATATGAATTCGGCTATTCCGCAGCTTTTCAGTGTGGATTTATTTCCAAAGCAGGAGTTCTTCTGGCCTCTTAGAGCCTTCCTGTGGCCCACATTCACCGAAGGCTTTCAGCTCCTAATTTTCTGTTGCTTTCTGGCAGAGTTTGGGAACTTGCTCAGAGCCTGGCTGTGAGATTGGACCCAAGCTATGAATACTGAAATCTCTCAAAATCCCATTGTCAGGGGAAATGCAGTTCTCAGCAGGCAGAGCCCCTGCTGCGGCATTGCTGTGGCTTTGGCAGTGATGGTTGGGCACACACGTGTCCCAGGCCCACCTACCCCACTTGAGAGCGTGCGGGGCCGGGTCGGATTCTGTTCGTCCTGCTGGGTCTCAGCAGCATGCCTCAGGGCCTGAGGGTCTTTGTCCGCCTGTCCTGGGCAGCTGTGCACCGGGGGAAGGTGGCAGTTCCTGTCTCCGGTGGGGAGGGCTCGGTGCAAAATGCATTCAGACTGGATGGCAGTGGCACGGGCTCGTCTCAGGTTAAGGGCTTGAGGAGCTAGATTTTGCATGTGCCCCCCCACCCCACCACCTCCTTTTCCCCTGCTCTGGTCTGCCCACACAGCCTGATGACTCTACTCTGCCTTTGTGTGCTGCAAGGTGGGAGCTGGGGAGCAATTCCCTGAGCTATTCTGCCAGCCATGTGTCCGTGCCTGATAAGAGGCCACCAGAGACCGAAGATAAGTTTTTTCTTGGTGCTGGGTCTGCGTTTCCTCAATCATCTTGCTCTGTCTTTTGTTTTCCATGATGGCAATAGCAGTACGTCCTCTGTGGGTCAGGAGAGTTGTTTTCCAAGCAGAGGCTGCTGGTCTTTGAGTCAGACTGTTTTAAGTAATCGTGACCCGTCGGTAATTTGCATCGGTAGTTATGCCACTTAACAGGGGCTTGCAAGGAGCAGCTAATGAAAACCGAGTTTTAATGGTTCCTGGGTTTAATGGCTCTAGGCATGTTTTTACAAAAAATCTCTAGCAGGATTTTAGAAAAAGAAAAAAAAAAGGGGGGGGGAGCCAATTAGATTAATCAGGTAAATGGACTATCAGCTCATTGAGTATGTTCTTGTGCATCATTCTGCTGGGGCAGCAGTGCTGGTTTTCATGGGGTTTGTTTAAAATCGCAATTGCGAGCAGCCAGGCTATTTGTAAGTGCACTCTGACAGGGAAGAAATGACAAGGACCGCCACCTTCCCTGCCATCTTTGTACAGTCATCAGCCTTTGAGTCATGTGCAAAGCAGTCACCAAAATGTCCCATTTTCTCATTTCGCCCTGTCTATTATAATCATTAGCCATTCATCACTGGTGTTATGTGTATTGGCAAGCTTTTCTGATGGTGTCTCCTGCGTGCCTTTCAAACCTAGCCAGGCAAAAACACGTCCAGTGACAACATGTGACACATTAACGGGAGCAAACAGCCATTTCTGTGAGGCAGCGATGTGCTAATTTTCAAGGCATATTGAGAGGATAATAAGGAATGCTGGAATTCATTATTCTGCTTTCAGTGTAATTACTCTGATTTTACTGAGTTCGGAATGAGAAAGAAGAGAAATCCTGCCTTTTCTAACAAATGTATTTATTGCTGTTTGCTTTGTTTCGTACCTTGAAAGCACTTCCTTCTCTATAGAAATCTGGATGTAAATATTCTGTTCAGCACTGGATAGTTTCGTTCAGAGTCATCAGCCTTTTAATAACATTTTCCATCTTATGCAGGGCACCCTAGATATTTTAATCAACTTTCAACTGGATTGGACATGGTTGGATTGGCAGCAGACTGGCTGACATCAGCAGCAAATACTAATATGTAAGTAGCAGATTTTTTTTCCATAATAATATGTAATATAATTTTACAGTTATACTCTAGAATACTAGCTGCTGTAGCTGAATGAAAGAAAGAATACTTTATGTTAAGGTTGCTGGAAAAACAATTGTCTGTTTTTTAAATGGTTGCTACAGCTATTTACATGAAGAATTTCAACATTGTCCTGTAGGCTGTCTTCTATAAAATTTCATTATACTCATATGATGTTGGTTTTACTACCCCCAAAAATATACATAAAAAGGCATTTTATCATTTGCATGCGTAAATGAAAGGTATAAAATGAAAGGTGTGTTAAGAGAACAGTTGCATTCATGTAGGGGGATTATGTATAATACATACTCAGAGCAGTTAGAGCCATTGCTTTCTCTAGGAAAGAGGTGCAGAATTTGAAGTGTGGGGGTTTTTTCACTTTGGGAATAGGAAGCATTTTTGTGCACTTGCTTAGCTTCGTGCACTGTCTCGTCATCATGAATAGGACTGCTGACGTGTACGCTTCTCGACATGCGCACGGGTTTTTGCAAGGTGAAGGTCTGGCTCTGCCCAGCAGCTCTTGAATACAGGGCAAAGCCTTCAGCCTGGAAAAGCTGGGCAAGATTTGTTTCACTGGAATGGGTGGAAATGGAGTCTCAAGTGCTCTCAGCATTTCCCCTTCTAGACACTTGACATCAAATCAGAAGGAAAATTATCAAAAGTATTGTAAAACAGAACTCTCCGTAGTGCAGGATAGATATATTGTGGCTATAATGTAATGTAATATTGGAAAAAGATGTGTTAGTGTTGTAGATGAAAGCATTAAATATGGACATTACTACATTTCAGGTTCACCTATGAAATTGCTCCAGTGTTTGTACTTTTGGAATATGTCACACTAAGGAAAATGAGAGAGATGATTGGCTGGCCAGGGGGCTGTGGCGATGGGATATTTTCACCTGGTACATGATATTTCAAGCTTTCTTCATTTTTCAGACTATGCTATATGACATCCCCTGTAGTTAAAGAGTAAACATAATTAAATGTGCATGTTTGAGAGGACACTTGCTAATAACCACCAGTGGCCTCTTTGAGATGAAGTATTGCATGTTTATGAAATTCAGGGATGTGATTATGAAGGTCTGTTTGAGCAAATTGCACTGCATTATGAGCAGCTGTAATGGCACGTGGGAAACATAATCAGAAGAGACATTTGCCTTGCAGTTTCACTTTGCCCTCACTTTTTATGGCTTACATGAAGCAGAAAGACTATTGTGTTAATAATGGAGGGAAGAAGCACAACAATGCTCTCCATCATTGCAGGAGATACTGGAGCAAAGAGGGAAAGATGTAGCATCCCTTTAAGTAATTTTGGTGGAGTTGGTAAGATCCTTGCCAGCATTACAGTAGGCAGGTAGCTTTCCCTGGCCTCTTGAGCTCAGTGGGGGTACTTGGGTGGCTAGTTAATCTGAGTGCTTAAAGGCTCAGAAACCTGGTTCCTTCAGGGCAAGTCAATAAGGCAAAGAATGAGTGTGATTATCTGTAGAGAGATCATTGACTCTGACAAACGCTACATTGCTAAGCCTTTTTTCTTTTATTTTTTTAATCATTCCACTTATGCCTTTGATTTATACTCTTTGTCACCTATCTTACTCTGGAATTTCATTGGTAATATTTTTGGCCTATCTATGTCACCAAATTGCAAAAAATTGAAAGAATTTACACTGGGCATAGCATGTTGGCCTGTCAAAAGAGAACAAACTAATAGCTGGTGGGGAAGGAGCCCTTCTGGAAAGAAAGTTCATTGACTTAATGGAGGGGGAAATTGTGTTTGAACTATTGAGCAAAGGAAAAGACTCACTGAGGGCATGAAGGGTAAAGTTCATGCTTTTCAGAAGATCAGGCAAGGCTCATCTTCAGCTTCTCACATCTTCATGCACACGTGGGAAATGGTGTAAGAGTTTTGTCCTGGACCTTTCCATAGCAGTCAAGAAAAAGATGGGAAGAATTTACGTTACTTCTTGTTGAGTCCTTTTTTAAAAAGCACTGGCAGCAAAAGCTCTTGACAGCTTTGACTCCAGTACCTAGAGATCCTGATCAAAACCATGGCCTCCATTGCACAAGGGAGCATCTAAATGTGTATCTCAAGGCCAGAACCTAAGCCAAAGTTTTTGGAAACTGGACAATGCTTGGTTACTGTCCAGTCCCTGGCCTGATTCAGTACAGCTGGTCTTCAGTTCCTCACCTTGCACACTTGAGCCACAGTAGCCCCACGGGGCTGGTCAGGGGACTGTGAGGGGAGAGAAGAGCTCTAGCAACGCTGCTCAGCCCAACCTGGTGGGCAGAGGCTAGGCACAGGTGGCAGGCAGGGGTGAAAGGCTCTGTGCATGCACCAGATATGCCCAAGTCTGGCAAACTGTGCTTGAGATAGTGTGAGTCAGGAAAGATGAATGCCTCAGGAGGAACTTCCCTCCCTCCCAGGTCAGTGAGAGGTCCCTGCCTGACCTGGGGGGCCAGGGTGTTGGTAGTGTGTCAGATGCTGGAGCTCACTTCATTTGGCTGACAGCTGCATGGGGACGGGCTCTCTGGCAGGTGTGTGCCTGTGCTGGCTCTTTGCAGTGCTGCCCCCTCTCATCCTTTCCTTCTCTGCAATTTTTGGTTTGTGCGAAGTGCATCTTTCTAACTCCCTCTCTTAAGGCAGCAGTACCCAGTGTGCAGGTTCTGCTTTTTTAGGCAGTAATCAAAATCAGCTCTATGCTGTCTTCTCATTTCAAACCATCATGGCTTCAGCTGAAGACCTTACTGTTGTGAAGAAGTTCTCATTCTTTGCATTCTCTAGAGTGAAATATACAGTATCAATACATGCGAAGTGTAAAGGCCTGATTAGGTTCTCCAAATTCTGTAGGTGTGTTTTGTTGCCTGCAGTTAACCGTGGATGTAAACACAGCTTCAAAATTAAAGACAGAATGCAGGCTTATTAATAAGCTTAAGGTTTAATGGCTAAGTAATAAATACTAATAGGAAAGCCTGATATTGAAGAAACTTAACATTTCAGTCTTGGTTCTTTTGACACTGAGCCAATGACTTTGGACAAGATAGGCCAAATTTCTTCAACTTGAACACCTTAGTTCAGTCACCTGAATCATCAACAGCAGCTGTTACAAGACATCTGTGTTTTTAGGGACAGGTACATCAACATTTCCTCTTAATCTCTCCATTTCTTGTTTTGTCATTTGTGAAAAGAGGTGTAGAAATATGTTCATACCTCTCAAGATAGTTGAAAGGGGAAGAAAAAGCCCAATTTGTGCTGACCCCCATGCCAGTGATGCCTTGTCTCTGTGGCATTTTCCCTTGGATTCATAGGAGAGCAGTGAGGTCAGGGAAAGCCCAGAGCAGGGTCAACGTCACTGCATGAGCAGAGCTAGGATACTGATTAGAAATGAAGGGCACAGTTTCTGTGGGCTGTGGAACAGTGTATGTATGTATCTGTCTATCTATCTTCAGTGGGATAAATGCAAATCTTACAAAAGTCAAAACAATGTTAAATTTGCCAGCACATACACGCTGCTGGTGTAACATGGCATAATGTCGCTTGATCTGCTGAAAGGGTGGGTTTTGTCTTATCTCACTTTGGCTCACTTATCTCCAAGCATTCCATGTCTACCCTGGGCTAGTTACAGCAGCTCCCTTGTATTTAAAGGAGAGGGGTGGATGAGTTTGCAGGACAAGTCATCCCACCTACCACAAGCAACTACTTTAGGATGAGCTGAACTGTCTTCTGGTATTACCTGTCTTGTGCTCTTCACTCCATTTTTGGATGGATGAAAGTTGAGTTAGTTTACCTCAGCTGCACCCTGACCTATTAATTTAAAAGCCTAAAACCATGATCAATATACACTTTGCTTTATATATATATGTGTGTGTGCGTTAACATCAATTTATAATCAATCTGTATATATATATTTATAGTATATATACAGGGAAAGCTGATGGATTTTATGTATACATACCTGTGTTTGTGCGTATCCATGTGTGTGCATATGTAAAAGTACTCAGACTCTGCCTGAGGTTCTGCATTATATTCCCATAGTGTTCATGCAGCATTAATGTATAACCAAACATTGTTCCACTGTAGACACAGAGGCTCAGTTTGTAAAAATCTCAAAAAGGAAAAGAAAGTGGTAGTTTTTAATTTATGCATTAACAATTCAAATATGGGAACAGAATACTGTAGAGCTGTCATCTGATACCCATATTGAGGTGGGTAAAATACCCATCTTGAAATGAGCATTTTAAGTCAATGTAGGCCAGTGACTTTAAGGCTAGTATTGGGGATATCTAACCTTTTCCTCTTGCTCCCATCAGAGAACAAATGAAAAGAAAAATATTTGTTACAATGATGCTTTTTCCTTTCTCTTTACTCCCCCCACTCCGGTTATCCAGAAGATAGTGTCTGTTGGGACTCAGTGTGGGTTTCCTCAGAGCTGGGGCATGAAGTGCCACCATGATTTGGGAGGGGAGAGCACAAATTAGGTTGCACTTGGAAGCCCCTGAGGAAGTTACCTTGTGGTGGCATCTGCTTGGAAGGTGGAACACAGTGAGGATTATGTGTTGATGGCATATGAAAGTAGAAGATTGGGGACTAAAAGGTAACACAAATGAGGATGACAGGATACCCCAATCATTTTTTGCAGCAGTTCTTTTTGCATACATTGTTATTTGGGTGTAGTAGATCCTATTATTACACAACCCAGCTGTGAGGAGCATCAGGAACAAGAATCTGCCATTAGCCAGAAACGTTAACATTAGAGTTAGAAAAACTGTAGCAAGACTTGTCATTTGTTCTGCAATAATATTTCAATGCATAGAAAAAGTAACAGTATATTACTGTGGACTCCAGGTGGTGCCATATCTAACATGTATGCTATGTTGATTGCACGTTTCAAGATGTTCCCAGAAGTTAAAGAAAAAGGAATGGCAGCTATTCCCAGACTGGTTGCCTTCACATCAGAACATGTATGTGGTTTTGTTTTTTTCCTATCTGTTACTTCTGCTTGTGTGATTGTATGATGAAGAAAATAAGTGAACAGGAGTTTGTAGCCAACTGGCTTCATTTCTGTTATTCCTTCATTGCAAATAAAAAAATGGGAAAGGTCTGGCTTTTTGCTACATACAAGCATGAGCTGTGCTGAAAATCAGCTTTTTCTGTGGCTGAAATGCAAGGAGAGCAGAATCTACAAACGGGTCATTTTTTTGCTCTCACTTGTGTCTGTATAAATGTCGATGTGAATGGTAAGGACCACATCAAACAGCAGGAGCTTAGCACTGGGCATCCACACGTTCTTCCAGGAGTGTCTTTTGTTGGGGTCACTCTAGGGGTACAGAAAATCACTGTGAATCAAAAATGTTTCTGGCTGAAACCACTCCTGCTGTTATTTAATGAGAGGGTGGTAACATACATGAAGACAGGAAGTGCTGTGTGTGTGTACAGCGACAGCAGAGCAGCTGTACTGTGGGCAACTGGGCTTTGCTGTGGGTTTCTCTCTGTGAGCAAAGGCTTCAGCTCACCAAGGTGCGTCACAGGCACCGACAGGATCTGCCAGTGCAAGAGGTGAGGGGAGGTAAGCACAGGAGAAACCAGAGTGGTCCTCATGGGAGATAAGCAGGGTGTTTTGCTCTTGGAATAACAATACCGCATTCATATTTCTGTGTGTATTATGAGGGTTATTTTGAGTTTCTGTCTATTTAAACCTCCTTGCAGCTTATAGTGAAGAATGCATGTGCAGGAGGAAGGGGAAGAGGAAGGGTTATATCCAGGAGGGGCTGTGAGCTCTCTTCAGGCTTCCTGATCCCTTTTCCAAATTTATCTCCAGCTGTGTGGGCTTGGCCAGAAGGAACTCTTTCATTACTGGGACTCAGCAACATTCTGTCTGTGTTAGGTGACAACGTCCTTCTGTCTGTCTTTTTTGACTTATCAGAGAACGTGTTTCCATTCTGTGCAAATGTGAAGAGTAAAGTGTCCTAAAAACTGATCAGAAATGTCTGGGAGGAAATCCCTCTGAGGATGCCTTTCATGGCAATAGGATGTGATGCGATACACAGCTGCGGGCTCCTCGTTGGAAAATAATTGTCCTCAGAGCAGTCAGAGAGAAGGATATTCTACAAATTGGTATCAACTCTCCAAAGCTGGCTGTACAGCTAGAAATGCATTATTCATATGGAAGTTGCAGACCTAATAAGTATTGCAAATAAGGTTCAGCATTATTATCTAAAATAACAAATCCTATTAATCATTAGAGAATTTCATTGTATTCATAGTGATGGAATGCTAAACAATGAACCAAATTGTGCTATCAGTCTCAATGAAATGAGCTTTAATAATTGTGTTTTCATGCCAGGGAAGAAGCAGTTCCCTTAGCAAATTAAACATTGCAAAATCAAATATACTATCAAATCCATAGGACAGCATCTGAAATCGGTTACGTTTTAAAAGTATCTTGAAATTGCAGTTTTGTCCCTTCCTCAATCAACTTTTTTATGAAGTATGTAATGGCACATCTTCTAGGGAACCTAAGAAACCATGCTACCTGAAGACAGGACCCTTTAACCCTTAATTGCCCAAAGGATATGGGATCGGGGTTTAACCCTCAGAATAGCAGAGGATGTTACAGGAATTGCAGGAATTACAATAGCTTTTTAAATAGGAAGTGTCATGCAGGAAATAGACACTGAGATAGGAGAATGTCATTTGTCTCATTTAGCACGTCATGCTGGTCTTCTTACTTTTAGACTCTCCAGCCTGATTCTTGCTTCTCTCTGCCACAGTTGGATGCTCTTGTATGATGATGGCTGTGGAACAAACAGTCTATTAATGAGATACTATCATTTCCCCATACTCTGCACATATAGCACGGTCCTAAACAAAGCTTGAAGTTATTGTATGTGTTTAGAAACTTGGAGATTTTTGTCTTAAAATTTTCAGTCAGAAGCAAAGCTTCCAATCTCAGCAATTCTCAGACAAGAATTTTAGCATCCCAGACCAGACTCTATTTTCATTTCTGCCAATCTAGAGCTTCCATTACTATACATGAATGAAATTACTCCACAGTTGTCACCAACATTGATGTAATCAGAATCTGGACTCAGTCTGATGCCATGATAGGTTCAGCTGCCAGTGGGGGAGAAGGGAGGGAAGGAGTAATTCACAGCTCCCAAGTAATTCCCTTCCTAATTTAGGAGGGCATCATGTTCCCAAATTAGGAGCCTCACTCTCTGCACAATCAATGAAGAGAAGCATCTCTGGAGGGAAACTCAGGGCATCCAAATGAGGAACCTAAATATTCCTTAATTTAGATGTTCTAAATCACCTTTGGGAGGGATTCACCTACTTCTGTGCATTGACCATACACAGAAATCAGCCTCCTGACATACATGACCTACATTAGGTGCCTGAAATAGGTTATGTGACTATTCCAACTGTGCATGTTCCCGGTAAGCAGATCTTCCCCGAGCTGTTCAGTAGGACCGTGACTTATCTCCCACTTTGCTTCTGTTTTCTATTTCAGCAGTGATGGTAAAGTACACTGTAACTGCTTAGGTTGGTCTTGGCCCAGGTATAATTTCACTGAGATGGGCTTGCTCAGGACTTAATTAAATCCACTGTATTCAGCAGTGTATCATCAGTGGTTCTTTCATCTGCACTGGTGCAGGAGCAGAGCAGTGTGTCCTTTAGGGCAGCTGTTCTGGACTGCATGTGATGCAAGACATCTTGACTCAGAGAGGTAAAAATGATGGATGCCTGTTGTAAAAACCTATTTTAGTCTTATCATTTCAAACACAATGAAAAATCTAAGGTGAAGGCCTCCTCCTGTGTCCCAGCGCATCAGCTTTAGGCTGCTGTGAATGTTCAGCTGTGCACATCCCTTTTTCAGTGTGGATAAAGCAGCTGAAAGGGAAAACTGCCTTCTCAAGATATTTTTGTTGATCCATTTGTCTATAAGGCAAGTCCTATTGAATTTTAACCCATTCCCTGTTGTGATTTTGACCTGGCCAACTAGCACTCTCTTAGGCAGCATCCAGCAGTAGCTGGGAATAGCATGGATCAGGCATCACCCCTAACAGGCGAAAAGGACAAAGTCACTGTGCTCTGAGGAGGAAAGGGGTGCAGAGGGGAAAAGTTTAGCTGTAGAGAATTAGTAGAGTTCAGGTTACAGAACAGTCCTTGGCTTTTTTATTTGCTAGTATAAAAATAGCTGAAGAGACTTACAGCTTTTACGTGGACTCGATGTTTAATTGGGGGCTATACAGATTCACTCTGTTCAGGGAATGAAAAAAAGCTAGACTTAATTGGAAAGACATAGACCTTTCTTCATCCCCGCTGTTCGCCAGCCTAGCAAGACTGTGCTCATGCAGTCCGCATCAGCTTTCCTAATTTCCCTCCCTCTCTAGCAGTGACTGCAAGGGGGGAGGCCTTGTCAAGTGCTCACTAGGGAGACAGCCATTCAACTCCGGTCTTAGGTTTGAAAGAGAAACCACAGAGTAAGAACTGGCAGCTCACCCAGTTAGAGAGCCAGGGGAGCACAGCAAGGGTGTCTCTGCCTCTGGCATCCCCCATCTCCACTGCTGTCTGGGTGAAGCAGCTCCTGCCTGAGGCTTCACTAGGGCTCTGGCAGCCCCTGACTGTGAAGAGAAGCTCTGTTGCCAGCTCAGGTGTAAGGTGTCAGCATGGTAGACAGACAGCCGGACATACTCAGAGGGACCTTGTTCTCTGGAGGAGCACTGGGAGTGTCTGTGAGAGGTGACTTGTCTGCGGTGGTAGGGGGGCACCCTCACAGCCATAGCATGCACAGCATCCACACATCAGTAAGATTGGAGGAGGCAGTTTGCAATAAATCACCACTTGAGCTTCTTGCAGGCTGATTTCCCCTCATGGACAAGCCCCATTACTTGCAGGGAATACAGCAAACTACACCAGTAGCTGTGGGAGAAGAATGGCTTTGGCAAAGTTTTTGTCTGAACAGTTTCTGAAATCGGAAATGGAGGTGCTTGTCTCTGAGACAGAAGGAAATTAAGAAGTGACTTCTGTCTCAAGGCAGTCAGTTTGACAGACCTCTATTTCACACAACCTGTGGAAGATTTTGGTTTGGTTTCTGTGCAGAATAAAAAGCCAATCTCTAGTCCCACCACTTCGTGGCATGTAGCATTGCCCTCTAGCCCAGTTTCCAGGACTGGCACCTGCAAGAAGTAGTCCAAGGGGTGACCTGTGTGGTGGGCCTGCCAGGGAAAGATCTGAGGAGCCTGGAGAACGTATTTTCCATTTGTTGGCATAAGTGATGAAGCCGTAAGTTATACTTCTGAGCACACAGAGGAAGTAGGGAGTGTTTTCATTTCCACCTAAAGAAGCTAAAAGTCAAACTCAGGGATTAACACATTCTTTCTTTGCATTACATAATGCATAATAACTAGAAAAGTATTGTTTGCTGGTACTTGAAGCCAGAGGGAAAATGCGAAAAAGTTGGTCTTTTTGAGGAGGAACTTAATTCAAGTAACTCCATTCAAATCAAAGCAAAACCATTTTCCAGAAGAGAAGTGCTCTAGGGCAGCCTGTCCCAAAGGAGACATTCATCATTTCAGTCTAGTCCTTCACCTGGTCATGACTTTTACAGGATCTCTCTGAACTCAGTGCAACATTTCTTATCCACAGATAATGCTGTAAAACTGTCCACACTGGAAAAAGTTGTGAGTCTTGCTGAATTAGAAAAGCAATCTGAAGATATATCTGTCAAAAATACAAAAGATGGAAATATTTGCATGTTGTGCAGAAAAATTAATATATTAATTTCTCCCCTGACATTAACAAATACGTTTTAAAATTCAATAGCAGTAGCTAAAGGAAACAATAGCAAACATAAATATCATTACAATGTATTTTAAAATGTGATGGGACGCAGTATACTCTTTTTGTAGATAATTGAAGGAAAAGCTATAGCTTACAATGAGACATTAAATATAAGATTCACGTCGCTTAACTTTAATCACCTAAAGTGTAAACATTTAATCTGAGTTAGTCTGTGCACTTTTTATAGCCAATAAAAAGAGAGCAAGATCTGCAGAAGACAACTCATCCTAGTCTAAAATAGGTGCTAAGACCTCGGGGATGAGGTGCCTTTTGGAGGTGCCTTTTCTTCCCTACTTGAGGAAGCCCAGAGACCCTAGACCAGATACACATCTTTAGACTATTTAAATTAAGAAAGAAGTAGCCCAGCCTAGGCATCCAGGATCCTGCATTGTTTAAAGCCCAGGGGAGATGGAGAAGGAAGCGTGTTCACCTCCTTTGCTGCCATGTGGCTGATGGGGTGAGGCTGGGATTCCAGGTCTGCAGAGCACCAGGGTGCCAGTGACCAAACCTGCAGACCTCAGAGAGGTTTCAGCTGCTGGATGGCTCAGCATTTGGGAACTCCCTCCACAAAACTTGTGCCACTTGGGATTTATGTGAGCAGGGAAAAAGTGCAATCTGAAAAACCAACTGTGGCCTTTGGGGCTCATGGCATTAGGATAGTTCTTCCTGACTGCTTCAACCATGCCAGATTATGAGCAATTAATTTAGCAAGCTATAAAAATAGAAGCCTCTGTATGTTGAAGCACTGTTCATTTAAGATAGCAATGCCATATTTTTCAGCATCATAACATTTTTATTCTAATTCTGATTCTTGTTATTCTAATTCTTCCTTTTTCCAAAAGACCTATTCACTATTGCACCTATAATTAATTTACAATGTGATTTTACTTTACAAAACTAACTATGAAAAAGAGGCTATCATCAGGCAAACAAACTTATTCCTAACAGCGTTTGAAATTTTGGACAATTTAGAAATTTTAGATTCCCCTCATTCAGAATCACCTTTTTTTTTTCCCCAGACCAATAATGTGTTTTTGTCACTAATATTGACTAATACTCTATGCCTTCTCCTTCACCACTGAATTTTAACCACATTTATTTTCAGAGACAAATTGAGGTTCCTCTCTCTTGGGGAATCTATTTGTAGTCTTCCAGGCATCCTTTTGCAGCGCAGCGCTGCATGAAGGGAGAGCGGGAGCGAGAAAGCCGCAGTGACAACCCACTCCCACCTGCCTGTCCTCCTGTCTCTGGCAAGCACAGGACAGTGGTGAAACTCTGGTCCTGCTGGCTTCTCCTAGACTGGTTTTTCCTTCAGGACTGGCATCAGGCAGTCTGCCCCTGTCCTCCCTTTTTGACCTTGGTTCTCCCACCATAAGACTTCAGGACTTCAGACCTGTGTAACTCCTACCTGACTGTGTCATGAAAGATGGTGTTCAAGCTCACTTCCTTGAGTGACCAAACAGTCTGTAGCCCCCATATTCCTGAAGGGGTCACAATTAACGTCCTTCTTCCCTGTTGGCCCAGCTTAATCTGTCAGTAGTTCTGTCTAAGCTGACTTATTTCTGCAAACCTTTCTTTCTCCTTGACGTTTACCTTTATATTACACAGGCAACCAAATATTCAACACCAGGAATATTAAAACCAAGTTTAATATTTGTCATTATTAGGGAAAATTTCTTTGCTCTTAAAACTGTGTTTTTTTCCATTTTCACTTTCATCCTGTCTCTTTTAGAGCCTCTTAGGCAGTTGGAGTAGTTCCTCTGATGTTACCCTGAGACACAAAAGCATAACAGCAGTCACATATCTGTGACTGTATACACAGACTGAGCAATTTCATATGCAGAGTTTTTTTAGAAGTTGTAATTGCATTTGCCCTTCTGTGCACAGACTTCTGTATTTCTTCCCAATTTGTCCCTAAACCTGTTTTGGTTCCTGATCACTGAATTCCCTTCAGTCTGTAAAAAGCCTTCAGGCAACCAAGCTATCAGCACTACCTTCATTTCTTATCCCAGTGCTGTTTTAGCAGTGCCATGAGACTTCTCAATGAGGCAGCTGAGCTTGGCCATATTCCAGTGGATGCCTTTGAACACATGGGCTTATTTTTTTCCTCATAGTAAACCATTCAAGTCTGTATTTTCTTTTTTAAGGCACTTTGAATAGTTCTATTTTCTATTAGAAAAACAAATTGCGATAGTAAAACTGTTTTAACTAGTATGGAATAAGGAGGAAAATTCATAAGTGTAATGTAATTGACTCAAAACCCGGTGAAATATATATATGTAACTCTTCACTCCTACATCTCTACCTGTATTTACATATTACACTACTCAGTATGTGCACATGAGTTTGTATAATACATGAATAGAGAACAGATTCAATTCTAGCTTCATTTAGTATATCAATGAACTGTCATTATGCTGGCAATATTCTAGCTCTTTTTCAATTTTTGCAAAGTTCAAAGATATCTTCCTAAACTTGGGAATTTTTTTATAAGCCTCTTGATGCCATTAACCTCCTCATAGCCTCTCCACCTCCCTGCTCTCATAAAGTTATGCTGCTGCACCGTGGGGCTCAGGGAGACCCACAGGGCTGGGAAGAGACTTCCGTGTCTTTCACATATAGAGGTTTGTGGATTGATCACAGTCCGAGCCTTAATTTACAGTGCATTTGTACTTGGGAATAAAGTACACTGATTTTAGTGAAGCTGATGAAGCTCATGGAAGTGTGTTCAAAAATTTGGTTTCATAAAATAATGTGCCATGAAAAATATCAGTGTGGTGCTGAACAGGCCCATGATGTTCAATGTGTAAATCCTTCCTCCATCTAGAAACACAGCAGGGCAAACTCTGTATCTAATCTGAGCATATCACTAGCCTGTGGTTTTAATAGGCTAGACAGTAGCAGTATGTTAAAATTGAGTATCTGCCGGTTTCCATAGTGCTGGTGCCTGCAGGTACTGTACACTTTCCACTCTCACAGACAGCACATATCACAGGGCTTGGTCCATAGGGAAGGGGTAGAAATCTCCTCACCTGATGTCATTCAGCACCCACTCCAAACCAGCAACCCTCGTGCTGGGTGAATCCTTCCCTGGAGGTGCCTGTCTGCCCTCAGGCTGTTGAGGCAGCCTACATGATGACTTAAGCCTGATTAGGCTAGCTGCAATGAGCCCAGTGTAATTCAGCAAAACACTTAAGCACAGGCACAAATCCTTTGTTGCTTATCTAAGCGCCTGGGTATGCATTTCATTTGGTCATCAGCTAGTGCAAAAGTCAGTCTGACATGCATATGTTTACGTTTCAGAGTGTGCTTAATTCAGGGGCTACAATGGTTTGTCGTACTAAGGCCTTAAAAACTGATTTTAGGTTGAGACAAGGTGGTCAATGGCTGATCAATACATGCTGTTGGTATACTGCAGCCGTGGGGGAAAGCTATACCAACCCACTGCATTAAAAAAAAATAAGGTAGTATAAAAAATATCATTCACCTGAAGAAGTATTTTCCAATTGTCCATGTATCATCAGTGAATCATGGCTCAAGAACAATCTGAACTTCTTCAAAGTGTCTGAACATTGAAAAACTCCATGGGGATCATGAAAAATTGAGGCATTTCAGCCAAAACTGTGAGATACAGGCATATGAAAAAAAGGGGTTTGTAATGGAAACTTGTACGTAACCTTAACCACAGTAGTCAGGACTGTTAACGATAATTAGTGTGTGTGTGTCCCTGAGTGATTTTTAAACACGGGAGTTTTTTACTTACTAAATTGAAGGTACATGTTACAGTTCTACTCTTCTTCCTCTCTCTTTCTTCAAGTTTATTTATAATTGATTTTCGTTTCTCAAAGTGTTCATTATGAAGGGAGCCCTTAAGTATGCAGTGAAATCCCACTGACTTCACAGCATTTATGTGAAGCAGATGTAACCATCTTGTGTAACCATCTTGTCCATCTCTTCTTCTGTAGCTCTCTACTGCTCTCTTTACTGCCAAAGCCAAATACTCACTTGACAAAGCAGAAGTGATTACTTCTCTGTTTTATGGTCTACTTCTCTGCTCCCACGGACTGTATTTCTTACTTCCTTCTTTAACACCTCAGACACCTAAAAAAACCTTGTTAGATTTTTATCTTCCTGATCTTCTTTATAGTGTTACATCCTGAGCTAATGGTACTGTAGTATATGCAAATAATTTCAATTTTTTTAAAGTTTAATAATCTGTAGTTAAAATCACTTTGGACAATATTGTTACAGCTGTGTTTGAGTTAATAAAAATCAGATTCTTGGTGGTATAATTTGATATAAAACGATTTCATTATCATAATGATTAGGATTTAAATTAGAATTTTAAACCAACACTGGCTCAGGAGTTAAGCCTTAAGAGCTAGATAAAATTAGGCTGACTTGCACTCCAGTATATAACTTCCACTTTTTATTCTGTACATACACATTAACAAATAGTCTTACTAATAGCCCAGTTCTGATTTTAAACTGCAGCAGCTCTTATTAATAGGAGTTATTGCTAGCTTTCACTGGCATGAGATCACAATTAGGCTTCCTATCTTAATTCCTCCCAGTATATTATTTGGCCAGAAGTTATATAGCAGAAACACATCACTCTGGATGCCACGAACTAAGTGAATTCTCTAGGGGATAATTTTGTGTTTCAGTGAATCAAGTTCATAGCTGATTCTGTACAAGCAATAGAAGCTGCAGGTATGCATCAAGGACAGAATTTAGGTCCATCATTAGCCACAGTTGTGTATTTAATATTCCAGAAGTAAATCCAGATTAGAGTGATTGCTGCTTCTCTAATTGACTGTACTGACCTGATATGAAGCCTCAAATTACAGTGATAGGTTTCCAGAAAGTCTATGAATAGAATTACTACCTGTGTGGGACTACTTGCCAAAGGGTTTGCAAGTGTGTAGTGGTTTATTTTAAATTGGATTTTAAAAAATAATAAAAATTAGTAATAATAACAAATGTATTTTTTCAGAGTCACTTCTCTGTGAAGAAAGGAGCTGCAGCCTTGGGTATTGGTACAGATAGTGTGATTCTGATTAGATGTGATGAAAGGTAAGTAAAGATGCCAAATATAGCTCTTTTTGTTGGTATATAGAAGAGGATCCCACTTGAGGAACTGGCTCTATCAGTAGCTTCTTTATGAGTCAGGTTTTGGAGCTAATCAAAAATCTTGAAGTTCCCTTCCTCAAGGATTTCTGATATTTCTTTTTCTTTCATCCTGAATTGAAACAGAAAGTCAAACTAGCAATCATTCTTTACACATTCTGCTAAGAAATTAAGAAGCAGCTTGTTTTGGTCAAAATAGATTATTTAGCCACTCACATTTTGATCCATTAAAATGAGCTGAAGTGTGCCATTTAAAGGAATAAAATATTGAGGCGCATTTGCTACTGTAATCCTGTTACTTCACGCCCCCAGCATCCTTCTCAGCTGTACTCCTTAGGTGCTGGAGCATGTCCAAAGGAGGGCAACAAAGTTGGTGAAGGGTCTAGAGTACAAGTCTAATGAGGAACAGCTGAGGGAACTCAGATTGTTTAGTCTGGAGAAGAGGAGGCTGAGGGGAGACCTTCTTGCTCTCTACAACTACCTGAAAGGAGGGTGTAGTGAGGTGGATGTCGGTCTCTTCTCCTAAGTAACAAGCGATAGGACAAGAGGAAACGGCCTGAAGTTGCACCAGGGGAAGTTTAGATTGGATATTAGGAAAAAATTCTTCACTGAAAGGGTTGTGAAGCATTGGAACAGGCTGCCCAGGGAAGTGATTGAGTCACCACCCCTGGAGGTATTTAAAAGATGTGTACATGTGGTACTTCATGACATGGTTTAGTGGTGGGTTGGCAGTACTAGGTTTACGGTTGGACTCAATGATCTTACAGGTCTTTTCCAGCCAAAATAATTCTATGACACTGTATGAAAACCCATTTTGAGAAAACAAAGGCATATTAACAAAATCAACATATTATGATGAAGATTTTCAAACTTAGGAAAAAAACTTTCTGCAGGACAAAAATTAATAGAACAATACTTATTGATTCTACTGAGAATCTTTTCAATAGAAAGAATCCCAAAGATCAGGTTGTTAGAAGGTATTGAATTATTTATGGCTCTAGCATAAATGGAAGGTTTTCCTGCTATCAAAATACTCTGCTCTCACATGAAAAGAGCACCAACTAAGCAATTTACAGTGCTAATAACAGCACCTGCATATTGACTTATGTACTTACTATCTCCTTATTAACAAAAGACTGAGCACTCCTTGAAGAGGAATTAATGACAACTTCAATGCAACCAACACAAATCAAAATAAACCCCCAATTGTTTCTGTTCACTGAAGACAGACATGGATCAATGAAGTCATGTTTTCCTTTTGTTCTTGTGCAAATTCAGCATGATGATGTTCTGGGAAGACCACAATGCCTGCCCTGCCCATTCTGAAGTAAACGGCAGGATTACTGCATCTCACCAAATCCCAGCAGATGCCACTGGGAAAAAGCGGGCTGTTTGCACAGCATGTGGGTTGGTGTGGTGGAGAGGGGACACTCTGTGAAGATGTGGACCTGTGGGATTGTGAGGGAGCACCATGAGATCTTTTTGATGTTTCCAGCATTACCAAACACACTTCTCTGTGGCCCCTCTCTTCCCCATCCTGACCAGCCAAGTTTGCCTGGTATTGCTCTATCATGGGACTATGTAAATGTGTGGTGAATTTCAAGCCAGGAAAACATGTAGAAAGTTATGTTCTTGCTCATGACTGAGACTGGACACCCATACATTTCCATTGCCTTTTTTACTACCAGACAGACATACATATTGGTAGCAATAGTGTATTACCTGCAGGTTTGGGGTCGTAACACTTCAGTCTGATGCAGCAGCAGTGAAGACTGTATACAGCTGTGGGTAATTTAAGAAGAGTTTGACACTAACACTCATGCTATGCTTAGTGTCCTTTTGCTGCTGAGTCTATTCTGCCTCCCACAGTAGCCCTCGTACCTCTGATGCTGCCTAGCACTTCTCATGTAACCTCCTGCCACATCATCTGGGTGAGATTTGTCTGAGGACAAGCCCATTGTTTTGCAATTTTAAGTGTTGCAGGTCATATGAAGTGATAACACATGAAAATACTGTGCAGGTAAGCAATGCTGTTGGCTAGTTTGCTAGATTTGGTGTGAAGGGTTGTGTGCTCCAGTATGTGTTTGGATGTACTCAAAGCCATTCTACTGCTTGCTCCTTGATAAAACTTGGCATTGCTTGAACATTGCACTCTCCTGACCATGAATTCCTGCACATGCTCCACACAACCAGGGACTGGATAATCACTTGTCTTGGTGAAAAAAAAATTGTCAATGAAGGAGTCTGCCCAGCTTTGTGTGTGTTGCTATACACAAGCTCAATAAATTAGAAACCATTAAAGGCCAACATCTAAACTGTGTTTGGATGAAGAACTCATTGTCTTCCATTGGCATATTTATTTTTTTCTTTATTCCTCTCTTGATCCTGGAAACAGTTTTTGAAGAAAGACAACCATTGCCTTTCTCTGAACATGTACATGTAAGTAGGGGAAACTCACAGCGAGTTCAATACTATTTAGACCTTGAACTTCCGCAAGGAAAATCAGGGCCAGTTTTTAGATTTGTAGAGCTTTTATTTTTAGTTATTCTTTTAGTGTATTGAATAAGTAAAATGCAGGACAGATTTTGCAAAAAACTCAGCAGTACAAACTCATTTGGGTTTCCTGTTAAGTGAAGAAGTAACAGTAAGAGCTGATTTCAAGATCAAATTTATAATGTAAATCTCTCTTGCTCCAGAGGGAAAATGATCCCATCAGACCTTGAAAGAAGAATTCTTGAAGCCAAACAAAAAGTAAGTTTACTAGCTCTTCTGTTTCCAAAAAAGATACAGCTTTTTTTTTTTCTTTTTTTTGCTTTCCTTGGTAAAACAACAATGGCTTGTCCATTAACTTCTCATTTATTTCTCAGAAATGTAACCTGGCAATTAGTGAGGCAAGAGGTGCTGAGAAAATAGATTTAAAGCTACTTTATTATCTCCATGAGCTATTTGGTTTTTTTTTTATTCCTCTATGTAACGTCCTCCTTTTTTATATTATCAGCCTATGATGCAGTTCCTCAGCTGAATATTGGCAAAACCAGAGTAATCATTTGGATAATTTGTATATATTTTAATGTGTTGAAAGTATTCCTTATAGTCATCAAAATAATGGAAGATAAAATAAAATCCACACATCTCAAAAAATGCACTACCTTTGTATGTGTTCGTTAATAGAAGCCAGAATTAAATAATTAAATTAAAGTATGCAATGAACTTAGCCCTGTGCCTTCAACATTTATATAAATAATCATTAGAAACACAGCATCCAAAGTTCTTTAATAAAACAAATCTTCATTAGAAGCTTGCTTTGTCTAAGAAAAGCGATATAGTAGATATAAATGAAAGGCAACATGGCAACAGAGTAGCACCCAAACCTCCTGTATTTCACTTTGCAGGGGAAAGTTTAGACCTTTTTCATAGTTTAAACCCCAGCTCTGCAAAAAAATGTAGCCACTCTTTACCTTTGTTGCTCTGAGTACTGCTTATGAAATCAACAGAATGACAAATGAATTTAAAATTAAACACTGTTATAAATTATGGCATGTGATGGACAGAGAGTGCTCCTCTGTGAGGCACAGCATTTAGCAGAGGTCCCTGGCCTCTGCGGAGAATGGGATGGGGCTGGAGATGAACCTCAGCCCTCCCCTGTGAAATGCCCCCAGGAGACACCCCCAGACAGGATGCTCCCACTGATGGGACTGGGCCACCAGACGTTCACTCACTGGGATATTACAGTACAGCCCAGGGCATAGTCCACCAGAGATATTTCTTGCATTGTTGTGCCTGCAGAGGTTTGTTTTGCAGGACATGGTGAAGAGACATCTTTTTGTTTCAGGCAGGTGTCATGAAGCAGAATTGTTCTTCTGAGCCTTTACCTGTCTCGTGCATCCTAATAAATGGAGGATGCTGGTTTGCTGCCACCTTAAGGTAGAAACTATAATATCACTAGCATCTAAACAGAAAACCAGTGTAATGTAACAGGGGTGTCCTCTAGGAGACACTTGTGGGCTCACTGTGGAGGCAGCACAAGAGGAGTCGAGGCTGCTGCAGGCTGAGGAGGCTGCAGCACTCTGACCTTGCCAAATACCTCTGTGCTTTCTTACAGGGGTTTGTTCCTTTTCTGGTGAGTGCCACAGCTGGGACAACAGTGTATGGGGCATTTGATCCTCTCATAGCTATTGCAGACATTTGCAAGAAATACAAAATCTGGATGCACGTGGATGTAAGTATCATTTTATGTGGAGGGGTTGGACTGCAAGGTGTATTAGCATTAATTTATCAATTTTGGACTGTGTCATCTCATACAAAACCCATTGTATTTGGTTCCAGTAATCAAGTCTAGCATCCGAGCACTGACTTCCCATTCCTCTGAAAGGCTCAGGTCAGGGGACATTTTAGGAGATGTAACCATGTGGTACTTTTGGCAACTGGGACACTTAAGATGACCTAGTGTAATTGCTTTATCTCTAAACACCATTAGTACATGAAATACATAAGAACTATACTGAGCACTGGCTCAGCTTCTGCAGCAGCTGCAGTATAATTACATAAGGAAAAGGCTACATTTGTCTGGAGTAAAGTACCCCAAATTGCTGAACAGATTAATGAAAATGCTAGAGAAATTTATCAGATTGGCTACTTAACTTTATCTGGGTTCTTGCCAGTAAATCTTTCTGAAGGATCTTCTTTCAGCCCTAGAATGTCTTTTGTGTAATTTTCACAAATCTGTTCTCCAAAAAGGCTTGGTAATTGAATTTCCATAGGCTGGGTATCTTGCTTTCGGATTACTGCGTCAGGCAAAATCACTCCAAGTCAAAGCAGGAGTTCGTATTTACCTTAAACTGCTTCTCAGTCAGATGAAACACCTGCTTGTTCCAGATCTTTGTGATCAAAAGCAAATGAGTAGGGAGTAAGCAGTAGTGATCTGAAATGTGATGAAAACTCATCAGAGCAGCTGAGATCCCAGTCTGATTTGTTGTCATCACTTAGTCACTGAAAGAGAAAAGGCAGCTTACCCAGGAGCAGCTCTGCAGGTCATTTATTACAGCATGGGGCAGCCCGATATGTCAGCATCAGAGGAGGTGGCGAGGAGGGGTGAGCAGATGATAAGGGTCAGTACTCAGATTATGGGCTATAAAATACTGCTTCCAAGCTACTGGAAGAAAATTGTTAGTATAGCTAATGCCTCAGGCCCCATCTGCCTGGTCATTTTGAAATGTGCCACATCAGCAAGAAAAAAGAAAGGCCCCAAACTGATGTGAATGCACAGATGTCATCGTGCAGAAATGCAGAGTTCTCCTCTCATTAAGATAATGTGTCTTGCCTTCTAGGGAGCATGGGGTGGTGGGCTCCTGATGTCGAGAAAACACAAATGGAAGTTAAATGGCGTTGAAAGGTATGATTTATTAATGTTAATTAAACACATTTATTAACTGCATTTTAACACTCTTCTGATTACCGTAGCAATGTCTATAAATAAAAATAAAAATCAGTGTTATCCCCAAGATATAGTATGAAGAAATTACACAAACTGTCCTTCCAGTTGAAGTAGCTTTGCTAAGTGCCTTTGTTCAGTGCTACAGTAGTGTCCCACTGTGTTTTCTAGTAGAAACAGCAGACATTTCTTGTCTGCATTTTCATTCCTTCCTGCAGACATTCACAGCTCCAGAGCACCCTCTGATACAATGTCCAGCGTGAATGAGCAATTGCATTTCTCTAAGAAATTAATCTTGGAGGGCTTGCATGCTGAAGTCTTATCTATAAAAGGTGGATGCACCTGCAGTTTGGACAGGTGTCCTGGCAGTCACTGACCACTGCTCAGTCACTTCTGAGAGCACATCCCCCTCCAGGCTGTGTTCATGACTTCTCAGTAAATCTGTGCCTGGATATACACAGCTGTAGTCATGAGCTCATGAACACTGCACATACACACAGATGAACAGAAGTGTTGCCAGTCCAGTTCAGAGGATTGGAAAGTCTGGAAAGATTGAACTTAAACTTACAAATAGCTGCTTATTCAGAATCTTGTAGTTAAGCTGTGGAACTCCTTGCCGTAGGGTGTTAAGATTTACCTGCATTCAGGGGAAGACAAGCAAAAACCATTTGGGACTTCTGTGAGCCACAAATGACTGTGGGCTCAGAGAATATTTGGAGGAAGGTCTCATATGCTTGCCCTGTTTTGTATTCTTCCCAGGCACCTATTCTTCCTCTAGGCCAATTGCTAGAGACAGTATACTGAGCTAGATGGAGTCACTCTCACGTTTGTGTATTTGCTGAAGCTCATGCTGTTTTCAGAGTAAATTATTACTCCTTTCTGCCTTTTTTGTCTCTAAATTGAATTGCTGTTCCTTGCCAAACAACTTCCTCATCCTGTTCCTGAAGATTAGGAGGATACCTTGGTGATTCAGGTCCTTTCTCATACATCTCACATGCAAAATTTGGAAAGCAGATGATAGGTCTATGAATTTGATTTAGTTAAGATTGCCTCCAGCACTCCAAGTGTACATACCGTGCATTAAAAAGACATGCATCCAAATATCTAGCAAGTCATAAAAATCTACCTAGTTGCCTGTTGTGAGGACAGAATATGAAAAAAATAGTTTGCCTCCCAAATTGCTGTCCATATTCTGCTGGAAGGAGAAGTTCAGGTTGAATCTATATTGGAGGATCTTCCAAATAATGTGCTTTAAATTCAGAACTCTACTGGATTTTACCTAGTACTGTGATAAGCACCATCTCTATATGTTTGGCAATAAATGGATGAAATTTGTCATTTCCAATGCTGTTTCACTGCTTGGTGGACACAGAAGCTCATTACAGTTTGTCCACATTTCAAATGTGGGTACCTCTAGAGCAGACTTACTAGACCCAGCTTTAATGGACATTCCTTTTTTTTGGTAGATACTTGAATAGAACCCAGTCATTACAGGTGTGGGTAGAAGAGAATTGGAGCTGGTACTCATGTTTCATAGGGGAGAAAGGTACAAGGAGGGAGCATTAAATGAAGCACTGTGTTATGGGTACTCCCGTCCTTTTGGTAACAGTCCAGCAAAAATAGTCTTGTAAAAAGCAGGAGGAGTTGCAGGAACACCTTTACCATGCCTTCCAGTCCACACATGGCAGATTTCAAGGTGAAGGAGTCTGTGACTCACAGCCAAAAAATCACGTAGGTGCTTGGTGCTCAGTTATTTGGGAAATGTGAGATGCTTTAAAGAAACATCCATGGATCCATGTAGCTTTTTTCCTTCACTGATTGTCTCGGTCAGCAATTTCTTCAAGAACACACTGATGGCTGAAGCCCAGAATAACTGTTAACACATGAAAAATGGTGGATTTTTATTTTACATAATTAATTTTTTTCTGTGTGCAATTGGGATATAATTGGAGAAATAAATGATCTCAGGGTAAATTAAATGTTTTAGACAGATAATTAACATCTGGTTGTTGTCAGGGAATAATCCTTTTGCTTGAGAAAACCTAAAACACTACTGTTACCCGGAAGTCTCTTAAGGAATTTCTGCCTGATTCTGCATGGGCACAGATAAAAATTAAAAGTATCATATCAAAGGAAATTCATAAACTTAAATGCATGTTCAGAATCATTAGCTTTGGTGTTGTAATCAGATGACTGACTCTGAGCTGATTAAAAGCTGCCAAATACTCGAAAAGCCAAGCCAAGTGGCCAGATGTTGCCTGTGGAAGACTGTTCCCTACAGATTTTACATCAGGCACTTGCACAGTCCAATTTAAATAGCAAAGAAGAAAACACAGAGGTGATGCACAGTGTCCATGTGCATTTTGGAGTTGCTTACTTTGAAGGAGTGGAAGCAATTTGGCAGGCAATGATAAGGACATGCAGAAGCCTGTCTCCAAATCCTACAAAGGAAAATACTGCCAGATTCCAACTTGCTCATCTCTGTTCACATAAATGTTACTTGCAAGTGTGTCCTGGGTCCTTTAAGTTTTTACATGTCCTGGCTGACTGATTTATACCAATTTATACCATCAAAACCGAAATCACTGCACTACACGAAATCCTGTGCACTATGCATCCTTGACAGCCTGCCAGATAGGACACAAATGTATACATCTATCAGCTAATCATCATATGTAATAATAGTAATTAACAAATAGCCAGTCAAGCATAACACAAAATTAAAATAATAAACTGGACAATCTTCCATTCAGTCCTTGCCACAGTCCCAAATGTCTCATTTCTAAGCTGTGTTGTGACAGCACCCTATTTGCTCACAAGATCGGGGCTGTCAGCTGTTTTTGCAGTGAATGTGTCCTGAAGGGAGGCAGGATCAGACTCTTCTGTGGAAGAGTGGATCAGTTCTACGTTTATTACCACTGTAAGTTTGGACCCAGTCTTCCAGCTGCGTGAATTGTCATAGCCAAGCTAAAATTAAGGAGCTGTGAATATTTACCATCAGCAGAGCAATGTGAAAAATTACTTTGAGCCAGGTTTTCCAAGTTGGAGACTTAGAGGTACCCAGAAGTATTGAAAGGAATTTCCAAACATGCCTATGTGAGCTACTTACTAAAATCTTACTGAAACTGGAATCAGTGGGAGGGAATATGCTGTTTTGCCAGCTTCCTATCTGCAACTTTAATCAGTTGTGTGCCTTTCAAAAGTTCATCAGTCAGGTGGGTGTTAGGAAGTTTGCCCTATGTTTACGCAATATGGATGACTCCCCAGAAGGTTTAATACTGATTAAGTTTAATGGGTAGAGCAATTATCCTATAGTAAGTTGCCAGAATTGTCATCCAGAAGCCAAGTTGAGTGGATTAGGTCCCTTATAAAGGCATTGCTTTCCTAATATCAGCCATTATTATTTTCAGCTTTGCTCATTTAGAAAAAAAATCAGTGCATTGCTATGTGCTTATTATTATTATTATTATTACTATTAAATGTCTCCATGGTTTCACCACCATAGTACAATGTCTCACTTCCATGTGGTTTGCTGCCCCAGGGCCAATTCAGTGACCTGGAACCCTCACAAGATGATGGGTGTCCCACTGCAGTGTTCAGCCCTGCTGGTAAGAGAAGAGGTATGTCTCAGTGTATTTGGTTCTCTGATCTTTTCAGACATTTAGCTTCTGAAAATCCTGGATGTTTTCTTCATAACTGTGTCATAGCTAATATTTGCTAATGTGATGAAGATTAGAGAAGAAACTGAGAAATAGACCTCTAGTCATGTGCTCAGGCTGTGACTGCAAAATAAATTAAAGTAGCTGCCTAGCAGAAATGATAGATCAATTTAGTGGCAATGTCTTTACAGAGTTTTGTGTCCGTAGTTAAGTTGTGGGTGCATAGCTGTGTAACCCCACTGGTTTCTGTCTAGCATAAAATATAATTGTAGTCAAACTCCAGTCCTCTTAGGATGAATGGTATGGTACACATGCAGATCCAGAATCTAGGCATCATTACACTTTCTAGACTTTTATGGTATTTCAGCCCAGCTCTGATCCATATATCCACTTTGGGGCACATGGAAATAAAAAGGGAAGACTAAATTCACTTGGAATAAAAAGTAGACATTTCATTTAGTACTAGAATTTGAATTACTCTTCAAGCCTGCAATTTTCATATAGCCATCAGTTACTGGGACAGCTGCTATACAACCACCATTTACTAGACTAGCTATCAAAAAGCTGGTTGCTGTTTTGCTAACAGCTGTACAACAGATTGTATACAAAGTGATTGCACTTAGGAAGAGAGAGGCTGGCTTTTATTTGCCCTCTGGGTCAGTTCCCAGAGACAACTCCTGCCTGGTTGAAGTCAGTACCATCCTTGACCTTCTAGTGAGAACAGATGGCTCAGATTAGAAGAAAGCCAATTTTTTTCCCCTCTCATTTTACTATCTCAGTTTTGAGTTACACATAAAGATTAGACTTGATGATAAACAGCCAAGTTTTTATTCTTCTTGGACTGGAAATTGCCGTTTTAGGCAACAGCCCTAAGGTATATCTTAAACTCAGTTGAGGACTTAACTAAAGCCAGAACATGGCTCTCTGCATTTCACTTTAAAAGCTAAAAAGGAAACCTCTTGCTTTCATGAGCCAGGTTTCTTCACCTTGTTGGCTTCTGGCCCTCCCACAAAGCTGCCTCTCTCTCAAAATGGTATCTTGCAACCCAGAAATAGCTCTAGCTGGTTGTTTAAAGGCCACATGCTCTTCTGTCTTTTCAAGGCTTTCTATACCACTTAAGGATCCAATCTGCAGCTGAGGGCTTTGCAGAAAGGAACTGTGCCTACAAAGAAAGAAAACAATGAAAATCAGATTTTTTGAGACCAAAGCAATTAGAAAAGTGGTGTGATGCTATTTAGATTAGTCACCAAATTGTCTTGGCCTGACTTAACCAGAAAAAAAGCCTTCCAAGGACAGGAGGAAAAGGAACCAAATCAAGCAATAAAAAGCAAGATTGAAAAATGGACTTGTGCATGACAATGCTAGGAAGCACAGTGTCCAGCTTTTTTTAAAAAAATGCCTTGGCTCTGGGAGTGGATTACACACTGCTGGGTCAGGTACCAAGGTGTCCTGGGCACTGAATGGGATATGAAAATTTTAGTCCACTGAGCAACTAAGTCTGCTTTTGTCCTTTTTTTGATCTTCCTTTTGCACTTGGACACATATTCCAGTGAATGTGGGTGTTCGTAATTTCTTGCCCAAAGCAAACCTCAAAATAGTAGTCACATCTGTGCCAACATTACTTTTTTGTATCTTTGTTTCCGTAAGGGATTGATGCAGAGTTGCAACCAAATGCATGCTTCCTACCTCTTTCAACAAGACAAGCACTATGACCTGTCTTACGACACGGGAGATAAGGCTTTGCAATGTGGACGGCACGTTGATGTCTTCAAGCTATGGCTGATGTGGAGGGCAAAGGTAGGACTGCCTGCAATATATTTGTTTGCATTAAAATAATGCACACCAGATACAGGGTTTTTTCTGTAATCATCATTTTAGAGAATATCTGACCTGAATTTCCCATATATAACATGAAAGAAAGAACATTATTATTTTCTGGGTTTTTTATACTTTTAACAATTTAGCTTCAAAGCAGCACACATGATTTTGAAACTCCATGGCTTTGCATAGCATTTGCTTTGTGTAACTCTAGGAGTCTAACAGCATAGATCATATACCCAAGAATGTTGTTACAAAGATTTCTGGAAATAAAAAAATGTTTTAATGACATTCAGAAATTAAACATGGTAAATCAAGACTGGAATCCCTTGTTTCACTGCATCCAGTGAATACAGTGATCCAGTAGATACAAAGTCATCTTTTGAAGGAGTAGAGGAAAACTCATCAAAATATGGGAAATCTAAAAACACCAGCTCTAATGATTAAATCATCTGAACTTGTTGAATGTTGCTAAATCAGTTCTTCCATTTATTTATCCAGTCTATTATGTCAAGTTGCCTCAGGTTTGTTCAGAGGAGATGACATCACTGGTTTTATTTCCAGAAAGCCTTAAAGAGCCTCATGTGCTTCATTAAAACTCTGAAAACAATTCTGAGACAGACATCAAATGTAGCTGGAGGTGTGGGAGTCTGTAAAGGAGGATGCAAGTTCCTGTAGTTGCAATAGCTGTTGTGCTAACTGGGGTCTCCAGAGCAGCAGGCAGCTTTAGCCACGTCTCTTTTAACTCCTAGCCTTTCTCTGAGGGCTGTGCTGGCTCTACCCTGTTTTGAAATCTCTATACACAGAGGGATAATGACATGGGCTTTCAAGTCAGTTCTGTATCACCAGAAAAGATTTAGTAGGGACATGCATCCATTACTCAGAGACATTTCTTCTTCTAAAGCCCATTTTTTCAATATGCCTTGTACTGCTTTTTCTCTTCTCACACCCCACTTGTAATATTAATGTTATGAAATAGGATGTGTGTTTCTTAAACAGTTTATCTATTCCAGCTGTTTATTCCCTTTCCTCCCTCATAAAGCTGGATCCTTTGTTTGTGGCATCACAGCTGGTGACTGTGGAACAATTATGATGTCACAGAGAGAGGATTATGACTTTGAGAGAAGAAAAAGCAGGATTTGCTGTGGATCTTGGAAACACAGCTTCTGCGTTTATATGGTGTCAATTAGAAAAGAAGAGAGAAAAACACTACAGTGGCAGAGCAGTATCTAAACAAAATGCACATTTTCACAGGCATCAGGCCAGGCCCTAAAAATGTTGTCTGCCCATTCTGTGTTTAACTAAGAAAGAAAAAAAAATATAAATTATTGGAAAAGCCCCCAGCACATCACCTCTGGAAGATCAAAATCCCCTATTCTGAAAATAGCAGGAGACTCCCCGTGTCTGGAACTCAACACCTTCTAGAGACCCTCCTCTGTGCCATTACAAGCTGTCTAAAACTGTGTTTAGCCTCTCTGCAAAATCTACTAATGAGGGCACCCTTCGTCAGAGATGTTGGCAATATTTTGCTGAGAACCGAGCTAGCACCCAGTGCTTATTTTGCGGGGATGGCTATAGGGGAGTCAGTGGCAAGAGCTAGAGACAAGTGAGCTCTGCTTAGCAATGTGTCCTTCGTCTTGTAGAAGGACATTTATTCTGTCCCACAGAGACTTCTGAGAGGTGACTTGTGCTGGTGCTTTGGCAAGTACAGCCTGGTCTTTTCACTGTTTTGATTCACAGAACGGATAGTCACGTAACTTTTTTCTCCCTTCATCTCTAAAGGGAACTACAGGATTTGAAGCGCAAATTGATAAGTGCTTGGAACTTGCAGAATACCTATACAACAAAATAAAGAACAGAGAAGGGTATGAAATGGTCTTTGATGGAAAGGTATGTATTGCAACTTCTTTTTCCCAGTTGGTCAACAGCACTTGCCTTAGTTCTCTCTTGGGATGCTACCAACAGGTCAAACGAAACAGTACATGACAGAAAACACTGTACTTTGTGACAAAACCTGTTGTGACAATATCTCTCTTCCTCATGGGATTCAAGGACGAGGGAGATAAGGTTGGTGTGCATAAGATCTGAGTTTGCAACGTTTCACCTCACTGAAACTAAACACTGGCACCGCAGGCTAACACAGCACAAGCACAGTTAGAACCAGTTCTTAAGTAATAAAAACTAGTTGTGGTTTCCTAATAGCAGGGTCTGTTACGAGTCAGAGGTCACAGTGCCCCACACAACTCTGAAAGGATGGTTGTGCAAAGCACTTTTACCAGCATTCTCAGGTGTGCAGTGACAGGGGACCTGGGGTGACCTGGGGAGACTGCACTGCTGTCCCTGCTGCAGTGGGGTGCAGCATGGCAGGGCAGGGGCTAGTGTTACTCGGGAGCCCAAGTGTCTCATATGGCAGAGGTGACAGCACCATGTGGGGTGCAAATATCTCTAGGCGTGTTGTTTCTGTTGAGGGACCCCTGGGTGCCAGGTGCTCAGCTGAAACACACTGCCCAGGGCAAGGTGGTGCAGCCTGGGTTGTGTGGCTGTACCTCTGAACTGCACCAGACTGTCCCGTGTTTGGCCATCTCTTTGTGGGCAACCCTCTCCAGCTGTGATAGCTGGGGACAGGCCTGGTAAATACTTCTGTTACAAAGTTCAATGTTGTTTTGCCTGTAAAAGAGGCTTTTTTCCTCCTGCTTGTGATTGTTTTTGTTCTTTGTACTTGCCCTGGAAGGTTTTGTCTGTCAGAACATTGCTCCCCGGTAGTGATCACTTTGTGCATGCCTGAGTGCTCTGCAGCACAAGGATAAACATCACCATATTTCTTCAAACAGAGATCACAGGCTCATACCCACATGCCACTATGTGATTTGTTTCCTGCACCTCACACACCACCACTGAATTTGGTCCACTGGTCTGGTGATGGGTAAAGGAACCGGCAGTAGTAGGAGTTGCTGTAACTCACACATTTAGCATCCAGCAAAGAGGAATGTAGCAAGGCAGGCAACTGTTGGAAGATTGCAAAAATACACAAAATGTCAACTGGTTCTTACTTTGTGCCTTTCTACTTGGTGCTCCCATGTCAGTTAAACTAGCTTACGACACTGTAGTGCATTCGTATTAGTAATGGCAGCTAGCTGAATCAAACTGAGAAGTAATAAATTTCATTAAATGTAAGAAAATCTTAGACTGTCTTATGTACCACCTGTGACTCCTGTTTACAGAACCAGATTTTATATTATTCTGTCATGTAATAAAAGTAAATTACATGGTCCTCACCTATAAATTATCTGTAATGGACACTTGCCTTAGCAAAACAATCCCTTCAGCCTCTGGAGGGGACACCACCTACAAAATCTGGATGCCTCTCAGTAGGGAATGAATATATTTGCACAGCTGGATGATGTGTTTCTGCATCTGACACCCTGGGAATAAATTGCCTGAAATTATCTTTTCTGCATTAATAATGATGATGACTCTCAGTGGACCATAATAATGAAAACCATTGACTGCTGTCACAATACAATGTATGAGGGAAAGACATGAACTTAATTGCAACTGAGATATTAGGGGCATTTCTTACAGTGTAAGCCATTATTGTTCTGTGTTTAGCCTCAGCACACAAACGTCTGCTTCTGGTATATACCTCCCAGCTTGCGCAGTATGGAAGACAACGAAGAAAGGATGAGCCGCCTTATGAAGGTAAGCAGTGTCCTCCAGGAAGTCAGGGTGTGAACAGTGAAATCCTTGCAGGCAGGCAATCCTTGAAGTGGTCTCCCAGGGCACAGGGCAAGGTCACCTCACCATATTTTGGCAAATGACACCTCCGTGATCATTTTATTACGGGTTAGGCTGGCATCACCTTACTGTGGTCTCCAAGTTTGGTATTCCCTGGGTTTGCCTGGTCTCTAGAGTACTTATGTGAACTCTCTGTGTATTTACTGAAGTTCCTGTGGGCTGCAATTGCTAAACCCAGCAAGTGCAACAATAGCCTGATAATACCATGGCACTCTGGTATACAAAAAGAAGATGGAAAACAATTGTAACAATATGTTTTGAGCACTACAAAAAACAGTTACTGTGTGGCTGTAAACAAAATTGCTAAAACAGAGTGGGGGAAATTCCCCAGTGATTGTAAGAGCAGGACAAAGAAACAGGATAAACCCAATGTCTTTTCAGTGAGCTGTTTATTCCTTAATGGAGGTTAACTGTTTTATCAATATTGGATGCAATTTTGTTTTAACTGCTTCTTGTAGCTCTTTATCTTTTTTAAAAACAGAAAATACTCTGTGTTCTGTTACAATGATAACAATGATGATGGTAATAATGAAAATAATTATGATAATGTTAATAACAATCATCATCATCATCATGAACTTCCCATGCTTTTTGTTACATTGCAGGTGGCACCAGTGATAAAAGCCAGGATGATGGAGTATGGCACGACCATGGTGAGCTATCAGCCCCTGGGAGACAAAGTGAACTTCTTCCGGATGGTCATCTCAAACCCTGCAGCAACTCACCAAGACATTGATTTCCTGATTGATGAAATAGAGCGCCTGGGACAAGATTTATAATAATGGGGTGTGAAAGTCTGTTCCTGGACCTCTAAGTAGACAATTAAGTTGTCACAAACTGTGCGAATGTATTTGTAGTTTGTTCCAAAGTAAATCTATTTCTATATTGTGTTGGAGTAGGGTACAGTTTAAAATACAGAAACATGGCTCCTTTAAAGTCCTATCCTGAGTTTTAGAATACCTCCTTAATAATTAGTTGCACAAAAAGCTGCATTGAAACAAATAAGGAAGAACAGAAGACACTTAAGAAGTTATTCCCAATTTTAACACAGCAACTCAATTAAATTAAAAGCAATTAGACTGAATGATAACAAATTTGCCCAAAATTATGACAAAATCAAACTGAGGGAAGTGAGAGAGGGTGGTGAGAAGCAGAGTATACAAGCTGTATGTTTAAAAGTGAAAGTATTTTGCATTTTTCATAGTATTAGAATGGAATTTCTAATTTACCTATAGCAACATTTCAAATGTATTTAAATAGGTATAGTTTTACAAAAGGAAATATATATAAATAAAAAATCCTATTTTGTAAACTATATATTTTTATTTTATATGGGTTATAAAACTGCAAGGACAGAAGCTGAAAATTAACTAGGATTCTTTTTCTTTTGATGAAGGTGCCTCAAAAAATTTATTACTGCTTATTTTAAAATACAAGCCCACATACTACATTTTTAAGAGGTACCAGTACCTCATTTCTCCATGTCATATGGATTGTACATCTCCAGGATTGACTACTGAAAAACCTCAAGAGTACTGCAGCTCTTAAAACCACTTAATAAGATCAATTACAGTACAACAATAGGATGCTATTATTCCTAATTATGTTTCCCACTTGGCCTAACTAAGCAGACGCACAATCAATATACAGTGCTAACCAAGACTGAAATAAGGTTGTATTTGGATGGTTTCTGGTTTCTGTGGTAAAAAAGCCTATCCAAGAAAAAGTCACATATCTGAATAAATGCTTATCTCGTAAACATTTATTCTATGAGCAGTCCAAAACTACATTGACAATTAAAATTGACTGAAATTCTTACTAAAGAAATAGCATGAAACCTCACAGCTACATTAAGAGGGTAAATACTTCTTACAGATGTACAGGTCTGCAAGACAAGGCCTAAATTTAATGTGACTGTAGTATTAGTGACAGGGATGGGGTCTAAGCAACGAACTGCTTTGTCAAAGGTTTCTCCCAGTGTTGGACTCCATCCTTGTTTGCAACGGCTTTTGAAATTGGAGAAAAAATTGAGATAAGGCTACATATGGCTAAAACAGCCCATGCGGAGCCTCACAGGCCTTTTTAGAAACCATGGGCACAGCTCTTGCAGAATTCGTGTGCTGCATCATTCCTTAACATTAGAGGTGATTCTGGCATAGAAACTGAAATTTACTATCTTTCCCCCAACTTCTGGAAGTGTTGGTAAGAGTTCTCTGGCTCAGGCATGTCTATTTATAACCCTACTAAAGCTTTGGTTTTAACTTTGCCTAAACAGCCAACTTTTATTTGTAAAGCAATATTGTTTTGCTGTCTCTAAAATACTTGAATATGGGAAAAAAAAAGAGAAGTGCAATGTGGTTTTAATTTCATCTAAAGTAGATAAACAGAGTATTGATTCAATGTAATATCATGAGGACATGAAGTAAGAGGAAATAAATTGTGTCTGTAATTGTGTTGCCTTTATTATATTGATAGTACTGTTTCGTCACCTCAGATTGAGGCTGTGCACTTTAGATTTAAACTGTACAGTGTTGCAAATCAACATGTGTTGCTGTATAAGCTTGTACAATATATTATTGATATGTCATTATTTGTGTGGTAGTAGTATTGACTCTTGATATTGTAAGAACTGCATTCACACCAGTCCCTCTACTATGTATCTTTGCTTGGTATGAACCAAATCGGCTTTTGGGCAGACCTCTCACCTTACTTCGGTGGATTTCCATTGCTACCTATGATGCATAGTGTTGCAAGTCAAGCTATAGAGGAGATGATACCAGATCTATCAGGAAGGACTTCAATGTGACCTTTGCTAAACATGTCAAAATCAGCAGACTAATCACTGAAATGCTGAGTAGAGCAGCAAACTATGTTCTTCTTTCTTGCTGGCAAAAAGGCAAGCAAAGATCTTAAAAAGTAAAAATAGTACAGGGACAATGATGAAGGTGATCAGTAGCCTGGTTACATCTTGCATGTGCAATTCTGTTTTAAAGTGCTAAGTGCGAACAACGTATTTACTAGCTGTATGTGCCAATCCAAGATTTACATTCAGTGTTCCAGGAGAACCAGCATTTTTTTCCACATTACTGTACTTATTGCAGCCAGGAAAGAGCGGCATAGCAATCTGTTCTTGTGTTTGACCAAAGTATCTTATCTGTGGTGTTGACCTAAATCCAAATAAAAGTGTAAAACATGACTGTGGGTCTTTTCATTAGCAGCACTGATGTGAGCCTTTATCACTGGTGCCATTTTGGAGCAAGGCCCCAATAAAAAGAATGTTTAATTGTAACTTTCTACGTCTCCTGCTGGATTTTTTCATTACAAGATGCATTCTGTTAATTACTGTAGCATAAAAAACCCAGTTCCATCACCAGACCCTTTTTGAGGCAATAGTCAGCACCAGCATACAAGTGTAAATCTGCCATCTGGTATTCCTTTAACTTATCTTTACAAGATGGATTTACTTGCTTTATTCTTGTCAGATGGGCTTAACAAATTTTTATGTCTTGTTTTGCCTCTTTATTCCACGAGCACTTATCCCCAAATTAGCTATGGACTCTAATCAGCCTCCAACATAGCAGTGGAAGCAGTCAGGGCACTTTCCAGGACAACAGAAACTATACAATGGCAAAAATTTAAAAGGGCCATGAAATGAAAAAAAAAAAAACAAACAAACAAACAACAACCAAAAAAAAAACCCCACAAAAACCCGACCAATACAAAAATTAAGATTTTAATCCTCATGTGTCCCCTGGCCCATGGCCTCATTCCTCCAAAATCTGCCACCTGTCTGCTCTGTTTTCCTTCCACCCTCTGAAGTGCTGCCCAGTCTGATGCCAGTGGCAGAGAAAGAAAACAAAACAATGCCATGAAAGCAGCAGTGGTCAGAAAGCTTGTGCCTGAAATGAGATTTTTCTGTATCATTTAAGTCTGCAGCAGAATTTGGTATGAATGCCTTTGCCGAGTGCCTGGGCAGAGCCCAGCTAGGAGCCCTCTGAGGAAAGAGAGGGTGGGAGAAGATGTGGGGATAAGATACTTTCTTTACCCTGCTGAAGCTCTTCATTTGGCACTGGGAGAGAGAGCACTAGTTTAGTCTTTTTGAGTACTCCTCTGACAAGAGTGCTTGGAGCTTGGGCTTTGCTCTAAGCCTGTTGTACCCAGAGCTGCATGGAGTCTCCCTGAGAGACAGGGATGTGGAATAGATTTGACCAACGGAGTCAAGCACCGAGTCCCAGCTGTGCTCAAGGAACGTGCTAAAAAATTGCCAAGCAAGAGGGAATTCAGGCAGCAGCCCGAGCGTCTGCTCTTTACAAAGGCCAGTTTCTTTAGCATTCTCCTAGAACAAAAGCTCTTGTTTGCTATTTTTCTGCTTTTTATCACAAAATCCTGAAAAGAGCACTCTGCGCAGGTAGAATCATGGATCTAGAAGATGAGATGATCTATTTCGTTGCAGCAGCCACCAACATGGTGATCTCACATTTGCAGTTGGCAGGTTACTGTGCTGCTGTGCAGTCTTATAAAGCTCACAGGAGTCGTTTCCCTTGCGGGACACTGCTTTCCCCTCCCCATCCTGCTGTCCTGCTCCTGTCTCTCCAGACCAGTCTCCCACTCCACCTTTTCATGCCTCTCCCACTCCACCTTTTCATGCCTCTCCCTTGCCCCTTTCACACAAAAAGTATGTATGTGACCATTGTGACCATCTTCATAACTTGATACAACCATTTTTTTAAAGAGATTAAGGTTCCTTTGAAATGTAGTCTACAAATCCAATTAAAACTCCACTATAATGAGACTGGGATCCTCAATCCAAGAAATGGCTGTTCTTTCCTTCAGCATGGGCTGGTCCTGGTCGAAGCTAACTCCACCAGAAGCACAGTATCAATTGTTGACCCCATCCTGGAGTCAGTCAGCTGCAAAAGGAGGCAGAGCGCCAAGGAGGAGCCCTGCAGAGCTCAGGGAGGCCTCAAAACCTGTTTGGAGGCATCCCAGGTTGACTTGCAAACTCAGTCCACTGACTGTGTTTAGTGCTTTTGATAAAGTGTTTTGTAGTTCACTTCCTAAATCTGGGTTTAATAAAATATGGTTTAGTGAAGCTTAGATAAACCAGGTTCTGTGAAACAGAATAATGAAACCTAACTGTGCCCGTGCGCAGCCTCCTGGAGCTTTGACATACTGGCACTTGGTATCCTCTGGGGCTTCACTCCATGGTGCATCATTTCCTCCAGAGAGACACTGTCTCCATTACTGAAAATATCCATGCTTACCTAAATGGATGCTGTGTTGGGAAATGGTCAGAGTGCAAAACTGCACAGTGTCAATAAAATACAGCAGGATATTTTACTGATGATGCCTGTGTGTCATGAGGAACTGGGAAACAAATTCAGCTATTGAAACAGCTATTATAGGCACCATCCAGTGCCAGCAGGACTATAGACCAAGACCGAGAACTGTGTCTACACCAAAGAAGCCACATCTCAAATTGTGTAAACCCTGTGGGGTTTTTTTGATTGTTGATTACAAAAGAGCAAGGGATGGGTTCATAAACACTAGCACATGATTTTGAAGTTCAAGCTATAAAGAACAGCAGAACCATATGTAAAAGCAATTTCTTGACATAGTGTTTGTTTCAATACTCAACAGTTAATTGCTGCTGTTGGGGCTAATGCTGAAACAACAGTGTAGGTGGGTTCTCCTGCAGCTTTTGCAAATCCTCGGCCCTGGGGCCATGTTGGTCAGAGGACAGGAGAAGCTGACGGGCAGATGAGAGGCAGGAGATGTTCTCAGCCCAGATGGCCTGACAACATAAGATGGACCACCCAAGGGCATGGCTGATGAGGTGGTTGGGTCTCAACAAATGCTGCTTGCTCTTCTGCAAATGACTTCCAGGAGGGATCCAGAGAGAAGCCCTTACCTACCCTACAGTCCACGGCTCCAAGGAAGACAAGTTTAAATATCGAGTTAGTTGTACTAAACTCATGTTCCAGCATGGTTAAGGAAGGAACACAGCAAGACAGAGCTGTGAAAGGAAATGTAATTCTTTCATCTGACTTAGCCAGGCTAACTGCCAAGTAGAAGTTCATTCTAGGTAGAAAGCAAGATCTGTAGAAAGTCAAGAGATACTGTCTTTAATGTGCTAATGCCTTAGACTTACAATGTCTGAACTGTCAGCTTTCTACCTGACCAGCCTAACTAAAGGGAGTAATTCAGTCATTAAGGGAAAGCCAAGTGCTGCAGCTGGATGAATTACAGACCTGACTTTGCTCTTCACTAGGAAGTCTGAACAGCTACAGGTTGTGACACTATTCATTACAGCACTGAAGGATGCAGGTGAATAGATTTTATGCTGTAGTTTGGAGCAAGAAATTGGGTCTGAGATTAGAGTCAGAGGAAAAGGAATACATGCCTCTCTTCGTATTAGCATAAAAGCCTGTGCATGTTGCTGCTGAAATTTTTGCATTCCAAAGAAAGATGAAAAAAATCTGTTCATCTGTTCTATAAATTCACATTGCGTGAACAGAGCTAAGGCTATTTTCTCAGGGCACAGAAAGGATGTCACAAGTCAAGCAAGGATGGAAACCTCCAGTTCTCCCATTACTCTGCAACAGCTGCCCCTGTGCACGTTCTCACTACAGCTGACACCTGGTGCCAAGTCTTCCAAAGACATTCAGATACCTAACTTCCATGATGTGAACCCAGGTTGCTCTAATCCCAGTC